CCTTAGTGTACTATGAAGTTTTTTTGACTTTTTATGACTTACTATTCTATGTCGTTTTTAGCACTTTTTATGCCTTAGTATTCTATGTCGATTTTATCACTTTTTATGCCTTAATATACTATGACGATTTTTAACTTTTTATGACTTACTATTCTATGTCGTTTTTAGCACTTTTTATGCCTTACTATCCTATGTCGTTTTTATCACTTTTTATGCCTTAGTGTACTATGACGTTTTTTTGACTTTTTATGACTTACTATTCTATGTCGTTTTTATCACTTTTTATGCCTTAATATACTATGACGGTTTTTTAACTTTTTATGACTTACTATTCTATGTCATTTTTAGCACTTTTTATGCCTTAGTATACTATGAAGTTTTTTTGACTTTTTATGACTTACTATTCTATGTCGTTTTTAGCACTTTTTATGCCTTACTATTCTATGTCGTTTTTATCACTTTTTATGCCTTAATATACTATGACGATTTTTAACTTTTTATGACTTACTATTCTATGTCGTTTTTAGCACTTTTTATGCCTTAGTATACTATGACGTTTTTTTGACTTTTTATGACTTACTATTCTATGTCGTTTTTATCACTTTTTATGCCTTAATATACTATGACGATTTTTAACTTTTTATGACTTACTATTCTATGTCGTTTTTAGCACTTTTTATGCCTTAGTGTACTATAACGTTTTTTTTGACTTTTTATGACTTACTATTCTGTGTCGTTTTTATCACTTTTTATGCCTTAGTGTACTGTGACGTTTTTTTGACTTTTTATGCCTTACTATCCTATGACGTTTTTTTGACTTTTTATGACTTACTATTCTGTGTCGTTTTTATCACTTTTTATGACTAATGTCATTTTTATCACTTTTTATGCCTTAGTTTACTATGATGTTTTTTTGACTTTTTATGACTAACTATTCTATGTCGTTTTTATCACTTTTTATGCCTTAGTGTACTATGACGTTTTTTTGAGTTTTTCTGACTTACTATTCTGTGTCGTTTTTATCACTTTTTATGCCTTAGTATACTATGACGTTTTTATGCCTTACTATCCTATGTCGTTTTTATCACTTTTTATGCCTTAGTATACTATGACGTTTTTATGCCTTACTATCCTATGTCGTTTTTATCACTTTTTATGCCTTAGTATACTATGACGTTTTTTTGACTTTTTATGACTTACTATTCTGTGTCGTTTTTATCACTTTTTATGCCTTAGTATACTATGACGTTTTTATGCCTTACTATCCTATGTCATTTTTATCACTTTTTATGCCTTAGTATACTATGACGTTTTTTTTACTTTTTATGCCTTACTATCCTATGTCGTTTTTATCACTTTTTATGCCTTAGTATATACTATGACCTTTTTTTGACTTTTTATGACTTACTATTCTATGTAATTTTTATCACTTTTTATGCCTTAGTATATACTATGACGTTTTTTTGACTTTTTAGGACTTACTATTCTATGTCGTTTTTATCACTTTTTATGCCTTAGTATACTATGAC